GACACTTCAGGTGCCCAGTCCTCATCTTCGGGATCATCGGGACACTCGGAATCACGCTGCAAGTTGCAAGCCTCCAATATCTGGGCTTGCACATCTGGATCTAACTCGTCACCTGAGAGGTCTGCATCACCCCAGTTATGAGGATCAACAGTTTTCCCTTTAGCACAGGAAGAGTCGCCAGGATTATCACGTTCGAGAAAAGCACTATTCACATGCAAATCAATATTATTAACGACGTGGTTACGGGTATCTACAAGGCGGCGTTCGGCCTCCGTCATGCTCTGGCGAGCTTCCTGGACCACAGCTGTCTGGTCCCTAGTCAAAACTGTGTCCCCTTCGTCGGGAACATCTTCCACGTACGCCCGTCGGCGTGGTGGCAAAGGCAAATCCTCACTTTCGGGCAAGGAGGTCAGTCTCGAAGAGACGTCTTCCTCTTTGCTACTGAAACGGGAAGGGTCTCCATCGGCATCATCAGCGCGATGGGAGGTCTCCACAAAGTGGGAATAGTCCGGCTCGGCGCGCTTGAGCTTGGACAAGAGGTTGTGCTGCTTGGACCTTTCTTGACGAAGAGGGCCAGCCTCGTCTTCGGGTTTGGAGACAGACACATCGGCGGAGCCCACACGCGGTTCCTTGGGTACCGCGGTGTCTCCCGGACGAGTGACCGGTCCAGCTGTTGCGCGTACAGCGGACGGACGAACTCGTAGTTTATACCTATTTTGTATAATGTTAGTAGAGAGTTTCTTAGCCATGACTCACGAAATTGGATGTATCCGGTTGATCAGACCGAAGGGCTACCCAGAGAACGAGAGTCGAGATTCAAGAGAGGTTTCGAGCGAAGCTAGAGTGTTGTAGGACTTGTTTAGTTCAAAATATGTGACGCGAGGCAACCGAAATGGGAAGCAGTCGCGGCACAAGGTGGAGTCTCGCGGATAGAACTGGGTTAAGTCCTCTATTGCAAAAAACTGGGGCTTATCTACCTGTAGCTAGCCTTTAAATATGCTTGGGAATATCACATGGTGTGGTAACGACAGTAGGTAAGTAAAGTGGTAAAAGATAAGATAAATGAGAGATCAGATGTCACCGTGTAACGATGGTCACGGTGCCGCTACACAAATATAGTCGTCGAGAGATTTAGAGCTAAAGGGTTGGGAAGCCCAGTGAGTAGGAGCCGGAGAATCAAGAGATGCTTTTTTGCAGGCAATCGGAACTATATCAATAGGTTCATAGATTTATTGAAGAGGCTCGCAGAATTTGTCAGTTTAAAGAATCCATTTGGGATCGATGTTGTGGTTATGATTAAACCATTAGCGTGGTGCTGCCTGTCATCGGAAGGGCCGGACTTTACCCTTGTACTACAGTACCGTCACGTCGTCCTTGCCAGTGCTACTTTTCGCGGATAACGCTTCACATCTCGGCGCAGAGGACTCATGAAGGCAACCCAAAAATCAAACTCAGAATGGCTGCACAGAGGCCTGAGTAGGAGATAATTAGATAATTTCAACAACAAAGGTGCGCCTGGATTCTCTTTCTACATTGGATCTTAATGCAAATTGACCATTCCACACTGTAATGTACCTCTTTTTATCGGATAAGATCTCCTAAGGACGCGATTGGAGCCCACTTTCGAGCTCAACATTGCTCATATTGATAAATGAATGGTGTAGAAAAACATCGATTTTTACGCTTTAGATTTGTCTCTGGTGTGTTTCAGTCTTTCTTTGTGCGATCCGCTCTCTAATCCCAAATAAAACAGCGACCTGGCCTTCCCCGCTCTCATGCGTCATGTTTTCATTCTGAGCTTGATGTCCGGATTGTTGCCAGCATTTTGCTTCATAGCTACACTCCACCGCGCGCGCTCATAGCACGATGAATATCGGCTTTGCGTTTGCATCTTAGTGGGCATCCTACGCGGGGGCAGGGTTGCAGTGACTCAACGACAAATGGCAGGTGTTGAGCACCGTTGCTCTACTGCTATCACACAATATCCGAATCGCTCGCAATTTGGGAATTACCTGAGCTGGCCGCTGAGCGCATAGGTCAAATATGGATTACTTCAAATTTGGCAGTCTAAAGACTAAGGGAGTGTAAATTTCGGAGCATTCATATGTGTGGAAGGAAATATATTTCGAAATTTTATCGCTCCAGCCAGCAAAGCGGCGCCAAGTCTGGCTTGTTCTCGACAAACAAAGCCACCTTGAAGGAGAACGAGAACCCTAAATTATTGCTGTTCACAACGCGGTGTGTGTTCTCGACACGAAACTGGTTCCTTAGTTTCTCCATCGCCATCTCGATCTTCCCAAGATCTTTCCGCTGCCGCCCCCAGCAAAAATAAAGCCCGATGTCCATGCCGTCCATCCGCTCAAGACGATTGGCGTCTGCCGCGGCCCAAGCTCTGAGGAGGTCTGCAAAGCCACTGGTAATGGCCTGTACCTGTGCAGCGGTGCGGATGAAGAATGCGAGCGTGAATTTTCGGAGCTTGGGGATGCTTTTGGCGGCAAATGTCTGGAGGATAGCAGCTGGGGTCATGGCGCTGGTTGTCGCCGGGTATAGAGCGAAGGTCTCCAGGTCAGCGCACCCATCGAGAAGCTTGGAGAAATCGCCGGCGCTATTTATGATTACTCGCATTAGGACTAGTGATGATAGACGCGGGTGTCTGGGTGATTTTTTTTGAATGAAGTTGATGTCAAATAGGACCGGAAGGACAAAGCCGTCTGAACCGTACGCTAAGCTCTTCAGTACAGGAAGATACATGTTTGACATGATCCTGGTGATATTCCTCCATAACGAATTGGGTGATGCCGGTAGTTTGAAAGAGGGAAGGCAAAACTGCAGTTTCAGTGTCGAAAAGTGGGGAAATGTGACGGGGGCCCAACACGGCCCCTTGTGCACGTCATCTCCTTGATCATCAAGGCTGACCACAAACGAAGCGTCGCACAGCGCCAAGCATTGAAAGATGATTTTCTCAAAGAGGGATACTGTTATATGCTCTGTGATATTAATTTCTGTGAGCTGGTCCCATGGCAGGTAGGGGAAGAAATTCGTTTGGACGGAACCCGATGACATGCACAGCGTGACAGACCAAATGCGCGAGGCGTCAGAAAGAGATACGAATGGTATGGTCGGGTGATCAAGTACTGCAGTGTTAATAACCAGACGCTCAAGCAACGAGAAGCTGCTACTTGGCATAGACGCGAGGGTCCGTACACGCGCTCCTGAGATCAGCTCGAGATGCAACCTGCGAAGGAGCTCGGGCGGCAGCAGGCGGACGGGAGTTATGAGGACTTTGCACTAGTCTATGCGAAATTCGTTCAAAATTGTTTCCATTTTTTTTAGCTTTAATGATTTCCAAAAGCTCATTAAGCTTGAGCTGGAGTTCTGAGATCTCGCACATGATGCGCGCGTTGCCTGCCACGTTTTGAGCGATGATGGACTCGACCGTGCTTTGGTCTGAGCTCGAGATACGGTGGTTGTTGCGCCAGAGCGATTCTTTGATTGATGCAATTTTGGGATCCCAGGTATCGGTATCCTCCTATGTGTTCAATGTTATCATGTAGGAAAGGTGGCGAGAGAGTACGGAACGGCTTTCCGGACCTTTGGAAATGAAATCGATTGAGAATCGTTCTGGGCTTTAATTATGGAAGCGGTGCGCTGAGGAAGAATGGGAACTGGATTTTTTCAACGAGGGAAGGATTGGGCATGGTATACAAACGCACTCTTCACTGTGGGAGGTCACTCGGCATCAGGAAATTGTGAGGATCGTGATATTGCTATATAAATGTCGGTGAAGATCTGATAAGGTCTGATAATTTATTATAAGGTGGTCACACACCTTTATCTAGCGTTATAATATATACCAGAGTTTCCTCAGTTCTGTGATGCTCAGATTGTAGACCTAGGGTACTTGTGGTAATATTTTACATACATATCTGATTCCGTTGTTCATTGAAGAGATCCCATGCCTTTTCCGTGGCAAGATTTGATGGAGGATGCGTATTGGACATGGTCGTAGATGGAGAAACCGGAAATACAATCAAAAGACTTCAGTTCAATTGCTAGATAAGATTAGATGGTTTAGTCAGTTGACCGGGGGACCTATAGTAGGTATCTCCAAAATCGTACTAGCATCTACTCTAGTATTATCATCACCCCAACGCACAGGACAGCCGTGGGTCTAGAAACGTGTGTTTTATGACGGCAAGCACCGTGGAGCTGCTAGAGCAAATCATACTTCTGGAGGAGCTGTGCGGTGGAATCTCAAGCTACGGAAATTGAAGAACTTCAACGGGAGCTCGAATAAAGTACGAAAGTACGGGCAATAACGTCCAGGGAGAAGCGACACCATGGCAGAGTGAGAGTGTCCCATACTTGGCGTTTAGGGTCCAGGACTTGGTGAGACTTGGCGCCAGTGGTGGTTCAGAGAAGACAAATATTTAGTCATCTCTCGCACTGGTGTGGTAGTAATACCAGACTGAGAGTAATTGTGACTTCGGGAGGTTCAAAATAACCATAGGGTCTTGGCACAGTGGTAGCACACATGCCTCGCACCTTCGCATGGGGTCATGAGTTCAATCCTCAGTCTCCGTTTGTTTGCATCTGAGGCTGGTCTAAGTTTTTGTTACAACAAATTAGGTATCCGCTGGTAGCTATGTTGTGGAAGATACTCAACCTCTCCACTTCGAGCCAGAAATGGGACAAAACTCATGGCAAGTTCGTCCATCATGGATCCAACCCCCAACACCATTGCATCTCTCTCTCCTCCCTCTCGCCCGCACCCTGCACCTACCATGCACATCCCTCCCCCCTCCCCCTCACTCACCCCATCCACACTAGGCAGATCCCCAACCAACAGCTCCCGCTCCCTACTCCTTACACCATCCATACTCCTCTGTACGTACCCCCGACCACTCAAGCCCGCCTCTGCCCTGTACCGCGCCTCTTCTCGTGGCACGGCTGCCACGAGCGCGCGAGCCTGCTCAAGGGATTCTCCGTAGTCCCACCGTGCCTGCGCCGAGGCCCTCGGGCGTGGACCACGGAGCCGAAGGATGCCGTGGAAGTCTGGGAGAGGGGTCGTTTTGGTGATGCTGGAAAGGACGATAAGTGTCAGTTATAACCAAACAAACAGACTTCATAACGCACCTTAGCCTTGTGAGGCTTTGGATTAGTGTAAATACTGCGCCTCACTACCAACAGGTCAAAATGTGTTCCTTCAAGCCCCGGCCCACGTACCTTGGGAGAACTCTTCAGCATGTCTCGACGTCCGATAATTGACGCCGGTGTTGGGGGTGCTGCTGAATCATGGCGGGGCACAGATGGTAGTGATCCCGTTTCTTCCTAACGTAAGATAGGAAACGATTTCTACAGTCAACTCTGCCTTAACCCATACACTGCAGTAGCCCATACTTTTGGGCATCCACCAAGTTGGTTCGCAGGGAAAATGGCTTCCTCTCCAATACGCCATAACCCATACGTTTTTCGAGGGGTCATAACCCATAAATTACCTAAAATAGACTAGTGCCGAGCATTATATCAGGAAATTTTGTTGGCATCATTAATTTATGACACTTTTATGACACAAATGCTTCCATTTTTGTAGTTAATCCTATTTAATCCAATCCCAAAGTACACAATTATAGTCAGTGAACTCCGATGCAATGATGTGACCGCATGGAAAACCTCTCGACACGAGACTCAAGGCAGGTCAAAGGGCAAATAAAAGCATGAAAGGATATACCTTCTCAATTTCCTATCAAGGAGAAAGTGCATTTTAGATCAAGACAACTGCTGGCTGGCTAAAATTTAGTTGATGAGGATGCTGAGGTTGATCGAGAAATATATAGTAGCAGAACATTTTTCATGTACAGTGATTTATCGGTCCATGAAACACCATCAGTCCTTGAAACAAAGCCAGATTTCTCTGGTTTGGCTTCCTCAATTGCCTCAGAGTTTTTTTAGTATTCAAGGTATACATTATATCTACTTTGATCTCACTTCATGGGCATCCAAGTATTGTAGATGCTTTTATGTTGAGGCATCAATCCAAATTCTCAGAAAAGTTGAAATTTCAGATGGCTACAGCTCAAGGATAGTTCACAATAATAGACAATTTAGTATCTAAGATTTTCTTTGTTATATGTGACTTCATCATTGGATAGAATATGTAGAAATCCTTTGGCGTGGTGTGTGTCCAGGTCTATTCGAACAGGTTTTCAGAGGTTGTGTTGTGAAACACACCTTTGCTTGTCACATCACACCTGCCAAATGAAGTAAGAGATATGATGGTCGCCTGCTAAAAGTGTGGCCAAATTTGGCTGTCACCTTGATGTGACGTGTGTTTCAAGGACTGAGAATTTCTCTGATAAGAACGTTTTGAACTGATTGTCTTCATCTGCCTCCTGAACAATCCCCAGAAGTGGTAAATTTGATATAACTGAAAGTAAAGTACTCTAAAAGAACATTGTCTAATAGCTTCGAAGAAGACTATCACCAGTATTTTTTCCGGAGCCCATCTTTATTTGAGTGTTTCAAGGACTGATAAACCACTGTAGGTCATTCCCACTACCTTTACAGAGTCACGTGACCATGTAACGACTCTGCCCTACCCCATACTCTGCAATAACCCATAAATTCAGGCTTCCACCAACCCGTATGGGAAAAGATAGAGTTGACTGTATCACAAATTTATGCAAAGGGCAGTAAGGATATTCTGATTTGACAAACTACAAATTTTTTCTAGGCACCACACATGACCTCCAAAGACTGTGGCAATGACCAGCTATACCCAGCAGAGCTGATCGCCATTGGATTGTTAGGGCGACGCTTCGTCCCGTTAGGGATGTACTGGGATCAACCACTAAAGCAGGCTAAACACCTGAGACTTAGAGAGCGAGTGAAAGTTGACTAGGCGGTAAACCTAAGAGAACTAGACTGAGTTCTCTAGGTGCTATATTCATGGTATATATACTGCTCTACTGCTGCGCCACATGTTCTACATGTGGCGTACTCAGTCAGCGCCAAGAGTTTAATCAGTCAGCGTTGTGGTACGTATGTAATAGTAAATATGTAATGTTATCTGGTAGAGATAATAAGTAATCTAATCTACAGTGTCTATGATAAGATA